AGGACTACGACGACGACGAAAACGACAGAGACAAAGGAGAAAAAACGGGGAAAGAGGGTAGATCAGAACCAGAATAGTTATTGAAGACCGTTACTTTTTTGTCTTTAAAATGAGACACTTTCAGTTAACGTCAGGTACAATCTCGTGAAAGACACTTCTTTACCAATCATTTGATAGATCTATGAAGGAATTTGATCACAAATGTGGTCTATTTGTGATCCTTCCTCTCTTGTTTTAAATGTCAATTTTCGATTCAATTGAGGCAATATTTTCAATATCAAATGACTAGGAGAAAAGCGTATAAATTGTTGTTTTGTTTGTTAGCTTGGGGAACAATTTTTGTGTTATTCTTTTTATACCAAAATATTTTTCAACCAAAAAAAAATTAAATTAATAACAAAAAAAGTTTTTGTTATTAAAACAGATACATCAGGAATTGTTCTTTCACTTTCGCTTCGGTGATCGTTTTCAATAACAGAAATGTTTTCAATAAGAGACACATTTATTTAACTAAATTCATGACCTATACTTTATTTGGTTAGTGTACATTTGCTTAATAGTTGTATGACAATGTCAGTAGGTGTATATGACCTAAGTGATGTAGTAGGTCTTTTATTTATGACATTATCCAGTACATCTATGTATCCTATAAATTATGTAGTTGGTCTCACTTATAACATGCTGTATAGTAGGTCTATATATATAACAAAATTGATGTTGTATGTCTATAATCATGATATAATTGATGCACTAAGTCTTATTAATGTAATTGGTACGATATATCTATTTCATGACCTACATTTTGTATAATTGATATGTTTAGTCTACATTTACTCGCATAATTGATGCAGGAAGTATTTATTTTAGATATGGCCTATAACTGATGCGGTAAGTCTGTGTTTATGACATAATTCATGCAATATGTATTTATTTATGATATGAACAACGAATTGCTGAAATCACGTCCTGGTCACAAGTTCTGAGAAAGAACAAGATTCCAAGAAACTAGGTGGACTTGTGACCACTTGATCCTCGCGCGCTGATATCTGTTAGACACTAGCTAGTGTAAGCACTTAATCGACTTGATGTCCTCTAGCTGGGCAACATACCACCACCTCAGCTTAAACCTGTCCATATCCGTCTCTTTATATCTGATAAAGGATTAAAAAAAAAAACAACACTTCCCGCCTCATTTGATTTTTAAAATTTCATTGACAATTCACACAATTTTTATATATGTAGTTTAATCCCAATTTGCGCCGGTTTTGAATAAGGGACAAAACTTAGTGTAAACATCCAGGTAAAAACTTGTTAAGAAAGGTGTAGTATTATATAGCAGATATATCCTATGAAAGGGCGCGTGTATCCGTGTGTAAAACTATATACACTTATAAAGCACATCGGCGAGACAGGTAAGTGTTCCCATGGTCGTAATACATGGCACCTGCAACTCTCTGCTGACGTCATACTCTACCTATTTCGTGGCCTGGGTACAATCACGACCGGGTATGAAGAGCTGTTAACATTCATCTTAAGATTTCACTTGACAAATATAATCTTGTTATGATACTACATTTTAAACCTCGGCGAATAACGTGTAAGATTTGTCAACTTAAGGACTCGATACACTCGATCCACTCGATGTGGTACGTATACCATGTGTTTTTTAATCAAACACGAATACCAAGGGAGATAATTCGTGCTCGGGGACAAAATATACGGGGTAAGATTTTCCCTTTACAACGGGGTACACCCTTGATATGTTTAGCAAAAAAAGACGAACTTTATTCTCATTGGTCGAAAATGGTATTAATAGCATATTTAGATGGACTTCAGGTTGCTTTAAATAGATGTCGGGTTTTTTTTATTTGCTGTTTGAGGGAGCTCGATTGAGTGGAAAACACGCTGCCGTGATCATGTCGTCAGCCATTTTCCTAGTAAGTTAGACGGCAACCTAGTTCCGAAAATAATATAAATGACGACTGTAACGCGTTACCAAATTTGATTTCGTTTAATTCTTTTGGAGATGAATATACAAATTTATCAATAAGTTGATAGGAATATGTACATCTGCGAACCATAATGGGATGAACTCGGGATAAGCCGTGATATCGGCATCTAATTCAGGTATATTGACGGCATATCTTGTATAAAGCGAGGTAACCGAATGGATCAAGTTTGAAAGCCAAACAGTTCTTCGTATGATGTAACTCAGCTTCTTCAGCAAAAAGAGTTATGGCTAACCTTGACTCCAGTCTCAACTGCATGGTAAACTATAGATGGTGTTGAAACAAAACAACTTACTGATTTAACAACACTACATGACGGAACTAACGAAGCACTGCTATACGCCACAGGCTTATTGGGACTAAAACTGCCCTAAGAAAACCTCACTAATGTCTCCATTGTGACATCTATGTCAAAACTTATGTAACTCCAAAGGTGGCCACCCCGCCAATTATGTAGCAGTTTCATTTCCCCCGACTATAATTGGCTCTATCAAGGTTCGTTTTCACTTTTACAGCTTCTGGAATTGAATAAATGAGCACAAGGTCTAAATTATGTATAAGGCCTGTTTTATTTACAATTATCACATAACTGGCCCACTTTACTATGCCATACGGCCATGTCATAAATATGGTATTACACACACGTAATAAAACCTAATGGTGCTGTGATTGGTCAAAACCGTGGGAAGATATTCCTGCGCCACTACAAGCACTACTTTTATTTACTACACCGTAGTAAAAAAAATGGCTGACCAGATAAACATTTGCGACACGGTTACAATGGACAACAAAGGAACCGGTACTGTAAAGTATATTGTTCCAAGAGGTTTTGCAACATTGTATAGTGTAGACGTTTCTGGAATTGATTTTAAAGTCGAACTTGAAAGGGATCGTATTGAGAAGGTCACTGTTACACAGGCCCGGTCAGAACAGCAACCGGAGCAAACGACAAATTTGGATGCTGGGCCTGGGGCTGACAATCCCAAAACAAACAGATTTTTTTACAGTAAATGAAGACGAAGTGGGAAATTTTATCCTCAACCAATCTAACAAAAAAACACTCTTAGCAAAACAGTCCACGATGTGAAACCTTTTTATCAATTTTTCAAGTTGCCTGAAGTCAATGAAAGTAGACAAATCCACGATATCCAAGTAATTGAACTGTCCTTAGCTGTGTAGATTTTTATAGGTATCAGGAAAACGGATGGTTCTGAATATGAACCAACCATTTTACGGGGGATGATGTCAAGTTTTGATCGGCAATTACGTCGCAACAACTACGGTCACACAATTGTTAGCAGCCCTATGTTTGCCCAAGTGCGCGAGGTTATGAACAGTAAACAGTGTCAGTTGAACCGCGACGGCAATTTAGCACACAGAAGTGATCCAATAAATGACATGCTGTGGAATTCTGGTCAACTAGGTTCAAACACACCTGACAGCTTACTACAAACTTTGTGGTTTTATAATATCTTTCAATTTGGTCTCCGGGGCTCGGCATAACATAGGGACATGTTAATGGTTGCGTAACTCTGAGAAAAGATGGGGATGGGCACGAATTTCTGGAATTTCCTGAACGCCAAACAAAAACAAGAACTGGAGAAAATCCTCGCGATATAAGAGCTGTTAAACCAAAACTGTGGGCAAATTTGGAAAACCCTGACAGGTACCCCGTGACAATTTATAAACTTTACCGTCCGACTGGCTACGGTGCCCCATCTGATCCTTTTTACGCAGCAACCAAACAAATAAACCTAATATTCCAATTTGGTTAAAAAATAAATAAAAAAAAACAGCCAGTAGGAGTCAATAAAGTGTGCAGCATGATGCAAAGAATGATCAAGTTGTCGGGAATCGAAACTGAAAAACATCTGTCAAATCACAGTGCTCGGAAATATCTCGTTCAAAAACTCAGTGACAGTAATGCTCCCCCCACCAAAATTATGCAGATTTCAGGACACAAGAACATTTCATCAATAAACAACTATAGCCATATCAACACAGATCAACACAAGCAGATTTCACGAATCCTGAGGTTCGGAAAATCCGTTCCCTCACCTGCCAACATGTCAACGCCGTCAAGTAGGCCTATTTCCACGTGTTTCACAAAATCGTCATCTTCATCTTCGATGTCAGAGATAAGTGCCGGCTTTAAATCAATTTTCAGTGGTCCGATTAGTGGAGGGAACATTAAAATTAATATTTACCAAGGTGGTAATCAATCAGAACCACCAAGAAAACGTATCCGAAAAGCTATCATTGAAAGTGACAGCGACTCTCAGTAGGCCTGTTGTGACTGCCTGAGAAGGACATATGAGGCGTGACGTCACAAAATTGTACACTTTTCTGATAAATATAAATGTCTTATCTGTTAAATGAATTGGAAATGTTTATTTTTGTCATTTAAATAAACAAATATGGAACGGCTTTACATTGCGCGAAACAGCAATACTATGATCGGAGTACTTTGTTTTTGACCTATAAAGAGTCAGCGGATAACGCATAGTTGTGTTTGAAGTTATTTTCAAATAGTGATTGTTATGTGATAAATAGAATCTTACACACGTGTCCATGTCATATTGAATTTATTAAACTCGTTCAATAATTTGATATGACACTCGCCTTTAACACATGGACACGAGCGTATGATCATATATATATAACATAATAACAAACAATGATTACAGCAAAATATAATAGCAGCACAAACATTGACATACTACTTAGACTGCGCCAGTACTATAACAGTTTTAACTTTTATAGATGCAATCAAACGAATGCGTCTTATCTTCATTCTTTACATACCTTATACTTCGCAATACTTCTAAACCTCACCAAATAGGTTTTCTATATTGTAAATGAAACTATACCAGTGCAATTTCGCTTCTATTACCTGAACAGTTTTCATTTCCTTAAAGGCAACAGTACCTAGCGCATACATAATTAACAATACATATTTTTTGCTTGACGTGCTCTGATTTGTTTTCACTATTATCTACGGGCTTTGATATGTTTTTTACTATTATCTGCTGGCTTTGGTATGTTTTGACTATTATCTGCGGGCTTTGGTATGTTTTGACTATTATCTGCGGGCTTTGGTATGTTTTGACTATTATCTGCGGGCTTTGGTATGTTTTGACTATTATCTGCGGGCTTTGGTATGTTTTGACTATTATCTGCGGGCTTTGGTATGTTTTGACTATTATCTGCGGGCTTTGGTATGTTTTGACTATTATCTGCGGGCTTTGGTTTGTTTTCACTATTATCTGCGGGCTTTGGTATGTTTTGACTATTATCTGCGGGCTTTGGTATGTTTTGACTATTATCTGCGGGCTTTGGTATGTTTTGACTATTATCTGCGGGCTTTGGTATGTTTTGACTATTATCTGCTGGCTTTGGTTTGTTTTCACTATTATCTGCTGGCTTTGGTATGTTTTGACGATTATCTGCGGGCTTTGGTATGTTTTGACTATTATCTGCTGGCTTTGGTATGTTTTGACTATTCTCTGCGGGCTTTGGTACGTTTTGACTATTCTCTGCGGGCTTTGGTATGTTTTGACTATAATCTGCTGGCTTTGGTATATTTTGACTATTATCTGCGGGCGTTGGTATGTTTTGACTATTATCTCCGGGCTTTGGTATGTTTTGACTATAATCCGCCGGCTTTGGTATGTTTTGACTATAATCTGCTGGCTTTGGTATATTTTGACTATTATCTGCGGGCTTTGGGATGTTTTGACTATTATCTGCGGGCTTTGGGATGTTTTGACTATTATCTGCGGGCGTTGGTATGTTTTGACTATTATCTGCGGGCGTTGGTATGTTTTGACTATTATCTGCGGGCTTTGGTATGTTTTGACTTCGAATTCATAGTCAATGACAGGATACTTTTTTTTTGCTTCATCGTTCATTTATCGAGCTAAATTTGCATCATCCTCTTCTGGCTGTTCTGAAAAAACTTATAATTGAACAAAATAGGTATCAACCCGCCTAATACAGTACCGGGTGCTTGACTGTATAACGAGCTGTCGATACTTTGGCGACGGTACCTAGCACAAATATTATGGCACATACAAGGAATCTCCAGACAATGAATTTGTGAAGGTCCATAAAGGCGGTCCATCGTAAATCCCCAGGCGAATGATTATTGTCACTTTTGCAGAGACCCAAAAACAATTCTCCATTGATTGCAGATTCTCCGCTTGGCAAATAAAACAAAAGACACTATTTAAATTTCAGAAAAAGTGTAATCATCTCTGGTGTTTGCCAATCGATCTTTTCATCTGCCGTAATTGAAGGATGAATAATGTTTTTAAAGACGGGAACATCTAATGCATTGCTACCATCCACTGAAGCATTAATGTGTATCATACATTTGCCAAGGAACGATTGGTATCTCCTATGCGTCTTCTGAAGTTGGTAATAACCATTAGCAACAACAAAAAGCACTGTTGAAGAAACTAATGTGTAAACATTGGATACAGTTTGAAGTGACAATCCAGTAAGAGAAGGATTACTATCACTCGAGCTAAAATGGCTACAACAAAAAATGCCCAGAATAAAACATATTGATCCAACATAATCCGTTGACAGAAATCCCGTGTAATGTCGAAGCCAAGCTTAGCATTTGTCACAAACATTGACAAGGGGACAATAACCAGAACAACTACACTAACGATTCCATCCAAAAATGTATGAAACGGGCCTTGCTTATAAAACACGAATACTGTTACAAGGACTCCGATTGTGATTATCGATAAGAATGAAATAAACAACCATTTGAGAGCTTTACAACAGCAATTGAACAACACCTCTGCCATGGAAACTCGAAGAAAAGTCAATAGACCGAATGAGTTGTTTGGTATCAGGACATTTTCTTCGATGTCGAACCAAACTCCAGTTATGTTGTGCCGATACGATTTTGTTTTGTCCGTAATTGTTTTTCATTTGGCGGATCTGATGCCTACGCTGCATTCAATTTTACACCGTTTGCATTTCACATTTTTGCATCGTTTCCAGTCACAACTAAATAGATGAATTTTTACAGGAGGAGAGTTTATTTTATCCGGAGAAAGTATAATGTCGGCTTCCTTAACATCAGACCGTTCAGCAACTGTATATTCTATTTCCATGTTTTGTTTTAGTTTACAGAGAAATATACGTGCCTTGGTATGCAACAAGTGTCTCTAAATGGATAAAATAATCATAAATTATATGGTTATAGTTGTTACTCCATAGTTAATGGATCGTTTCCCATTCAGAACGAAGGTATCTTCTTTTAACAGAACCCACTCTGAATCTTTGAAAGGCGTATCTTTAAACAGGAACAATTGATTCGGTTCAACATAATCTGTTTGAAAGCACAGTTTCTTGACCAATAACTTTTCGATCCCGTATTGTTTCTTTGTTAGTCCACAGAGAAGCCAATTTTTCACTTAAGTATCGGTAATCGTGATATTAACTAAACATCCAGAGGGATTGGGTATCAGTTCAATTTATCTTCGGTCTACTTTGTCGCTCAGCAGGGGAAGATCTAAAGTAAGAAATTCCATTTGTGATTTTAGTGTCAAAAGAAACTCTCCTAGATCCGTCTTGACCAGGTCAAATCTATGGTGATACCGAACCTCGACATCGCCAATGACCAACTTTAACACTATTAGAGCTACACCTTTATCGTACTAGTACAACTCAACCTAGAGCTCCACATTGCCAATCTTTTGACGAAACGAAGTTTGTAATTCCAAAACTGCAATGTTGATCAAAACTATGCATTTAAAGAGTTGGATTAAAAAAAAAAACATCCGAAGAACAATCACCTTAATCCAAAAAAATTTAACATGTGGATTTTGGAGATTCAAAAAATTAAATTGAACCATATTCTAAGAATCAAAGTTCATATGACTACTTATTCAAAAAAAACTCAAGATATGATGGTATTTCATTCATAATACACCATTTTGATTTCAGTTTATGAAACATCTCAGTGTGTGTCGAGGAGAGGGGATGGGGGCTTAGGGGTATAATAAAAGTTTGATGACATACCTTTACCATCTTTTTCAGATGACACACATCTTCATTTAGTGGTGTCACTCTTTCAACTGGATATGCAAATTTAAGAGAAATACAAGTGTATCTAAGTCTTAGCCAATGAAAAAAAAAAATCATCAAGACAAGACAGTGTGTTGTTATTTATACTTTTCTAATAAGAATGTTACATAAATATATATTGTATGTACAGAAAAAATAATCTTTCACCCTTCACAGTGGTCTTTAGGTTATATATAAACTATATTATACTTTACTTTAGTTCTTGTACTTTCTTATCCTCCGTAATGAATTAATAATAAAACTGTTTTGACCTTTTTGATTTGAACCTTGTTTCTGTATGCATCACAATACCTTCCCTTTAAATGGTTTACTTCAGAACTTAAAAGTAACGTTAAGAAATATGATCGACTTGAGAAACATTAACCTGACAAGGACCTGCACAAACAAAGGTAAAATAATGTAATCATCACCCATGCAGCTGCATTACCTCTGGATCTGTCAGGACTGGATCTTGATCTGTCAGGACTGGATCTTGATCTGTCAGGACTGGATCTTGATCTGTCAGGACTGTATATTCCTCTAGGTAATGGCTGCTTGAGCATGTCACTGAAATATAACAAATTTAAAATCAAATCAAATGACAAGATAATCTGCATACATTTAAAACTTATAAAAATATAAATGGTAATCGACTAATTGTAATCAACCAATTTAAAAATTATAAATTTTGAAATTAAAATGTACTCTTTAAATTGGCCAAATAACATAATTGTGTGTTTCCTATTCAGTTTCGTTGACCTTCAGAGGGATGATGGATCAAAGTACATTGAAGATATTTAAAACATTTGATTTAAAGGTCACCGGAAAATAGTTTTCAGTGTTGATTTTTCATTCTGAATCGATATATAGGTGTAAAAAAAGAAGATATTTACGCAACACTGACTGTTCTGAATTCAACAGGTAAGTTGTTATTTACCTGTAATCTACCCGTCAAAGGAGTTACTTGCCTTGCCCCTTGCACTACTCGGTAGAATCGGCAGAATTTTGAAAGAATTGGTTTTGTTTGACAATGGAGACTGATCCTAGTGAAAATGACGTCGAGTTTACGGTTGCTCCCTATCAGTTTGAGCAAATTTTGGTGGCAACTGACGCAGAAAGCGAGGACATAACAACCACCGGAGAAGAAAGTGAAGTGAGAGTACCGCCGGTAATGAGGCCCATGTTCGTCAAGTTGATCAATGGTAATATTTTAATCGCACTTCGTAATTACTAAATATATGTATAGTGAATTATTACATCAAAATTCAGCCACATGATAGTCATTCCAACCAACTTTGAATTTGTTCCCACTGAAAGTAAACAAAATATACCCAAAAGTGTTATTTTCCCATAAAAACTACAGTAAGACCAAAAACAAGATTTACATATGTTTCCGTAACCTGATCATGACCTACCTGAAATATTTCCTGTGGACCTTAGAGAACATTTCATCACCTACTTTGTATCCATGAAGATCATTTTAATAGTCCGGCAAATATCACATACACTTTCTTCTTGTTATGGTCATGGGATCCTTACCACATTCTTGATAGAATAATTACAATTGAAATGCATAGACATTATTTTTTTTTACATTTGTTATTACCCTGTGAGTATATATTGATCCAGGAAAATTAAAAAAAAAAGATAAAATTGCCTGCTTACTGACCAACCCAATTTTACTCATTCCATCTTTTTTGTTGAAGCTTAAACATTAACCCTTTCTAAAGGAGGAATGAATGATCCAGAGGTAGCAAAATATTCATATATTTGAAATAGGCCAACAGGACCTTTCCATCTATGAAGAGTATGGCATCTCTGTGCCTGAATAAGAAGACTGCTGAAAATTTATTCAATTTGACCTCTTTTGGGCTCAAACCCCTGGCAGATTAGATCTACATGTAATTCATAAATTTGGCTTGCATTTGACCATGGAACTTTCCTTCAAAAATTAAATGAAGTAGTTATTTTGACAGACAAAAGGCAGGCACAAGAGGTCAACACCAAGACTTTGATAACTAAAAAAAATCCATTTTCTAGCTTAAGTTCACAAATCAAAAATATAATACTCACTGCTTACTAACATGTTCAAATGTCCTGTTGTTGTATGAATACAGTAAAGAACAAATTAACAAAGATACATATATTTATATAAAATGTACCAAGTAATGGGACATATATAATTAGTTGTTAATGTTTATATGTGTTTCATAGCTCAACTAGAGCTACAGACTCGAGCATTTATTCATATTGATGTAAAAACTTTGGGAAAAAACATTCAGATCTACCCTAAGCAAGATATTGATCTTGAACTAGTTCAGGGGTTTGTTAACGGTTTTCAATTAAGATATCATGGGCCTCGTGTAGCTGCAATTTGTAAAAACTTAGTTTCAATTAAGGAAAATGAAAGTGCAGCCTTGGTCAAAGTGTTAAAAGAAGTAGAACTAGGGAGAATTGCGGGTCCCTTCCCATCCAGACCCTTGACTAATCTCAGGTTGTCGCCTATAGGTTTAGTACCCAAAAAAGATGAAAGTTGGAGATTGATTCATCATTTATCTTTTCCAGAAGGTTCTAGTTTAAATGATTTTATAGACAGTTCTGCTTGTGCTGTACAGTATTCATCTGTAGATGAGGCCATTGATATGATAAGTAAGCTAGGTAAGGGTGCTTATCTGGCAAAAATGGATATCAAATCTGCATTCAGGCTGTTACCAGTCAACCCAGCTGATTTTGAGCTTGTAGGTTTTCACTTACATGGGTCATATTTTGTGGATAAATGTTTGCCTATGGGTTGTTCTTATTCATGTGCTTTGTTTGAAAAAATTGCCACATTTTTGGAATGGCTGATTAAATATCGGTCCAAGTTAGAGTCTATAGTCCATTACCTAGATGATTTCTTGTTTGAGGGGACTAGTGGTAGTAGTAATTGCCTCACACTGATGCAGGTCTTTACAGGTATTGCTCACGAACTAGGTGCTCCTCTTGCTGAGGACAAAACAGTGGGTCCTTCCCATATCTTAGTTTTTCTCGGGTACGAATTAAATACTTTAGATATGACATTTCGAACCCCAGTTGAGATATTAGAGGTACTCCGGGCGTTACTCACTGGGCTTCTTGTTGTAAAAAAACAACCTTAAAAAACCTTCAGTCAGTTGTAGGTGTCTTGAATTTCTTCTCCAAAGCTATCCCTTCTACCTGGGCGTTCAATAGGCGGTTTTATGACGCTATGTCTGCGGCGTCAAGGCCGAGTCATCCTTTTAGGATCATTCAGGGTATTAAGGAAGACATACATGTCTGGTTAACATTTCTGATTTTTTTCAATGGTTGTTCCTACTTCCCAGACAGTTTCTGGTCAAGTAATGATCAAATTAATTTGTTTACAGACAGTGCAGGACAGGTAAAATTATGTTATGTGGCTGTTTTTCAGTCACACTGGGCATATTTTCAATGGCCAAAGTCCTGGGCAAACTCTGATCTTATGAGGGACTAAACTTTCCTGTAACTGGTTCCCGTCCTTCTGTCACTGATTATATGGGGTTCACTTTTAGAGAACAAAAAAATCGTCTTGGACATAGATAATCAGGCCCTGGTCACAATTCTTAATAAGAAATCTTCAATATCAAAGAGGGTCATGCAGTTGGTCCGTCCACTTGTGTTACATGCCATGTTGGGTTATATACAATTTAAGGCTGTTCATATTCAGGGTATTCATAACAGTGTAGCAGATTCTATATCTCGTCTACAGTGGGCTCGGTTCCGGCAACTAGCACCAATGGCAGATCCGGAGCCAACAGCAATTCCAGTATCGTTCCAAATGTTGGTCTCTAATTTGAAACTACAAAATTGATTTCAGCCTCTATTTCTGAGAATATTACTAAAGCATTTGTTACAAGTCTAAATGTATTCGAGGCTTTCCGTCCACAGTATCATCTCGCCAAGTCCTGGCCTCCGCCATTGTAAGATTTTATCAAGTTTTTATCATATCTGTCTGTCGGCAGTTATGCTCCCAGCCTTTAAGCGTAAATTGTTAGGCAAAGAGGATAATACACAAAATGTTATCATCAGTAAAATGTAAGCAGGAATGCAAAGGTTGTCAAAACGGGTAGTAGTTAGGTTGCCTATTACTCCTGAATTGTTGGTAAAACAATATCTGGCAGTCAGACCAAGTAAACCAGGTCCATTTTTTTTGTCATTTTGGTGGTTTACCGGTATCAAAATATCTATTTAATGCAATGTTAAAACAATCTCTGAACACAGCTGGAGTATCTACAGAGCGATATAAATCTCATTCTTTTAGAATAGGCGCTGCTACTAGGGCTTCTGCAGTTGGTGTGTCTGATGCTGAAATAAAAGAAAACTGGATAGATGGGAAAGTCCCAACCATGGAATTGTGCTGAGGCTTGAAAGACTCATACAGTACCTTGCAGTAGTCTTGGGTGAAATTACTTAACATTGTATACATGAATTTGGGAGCTTCCAACGCAAGTGAATAAATGTATTTCTACAGTTTATTTTAATTAAATTTTCTAGAGATCACCTGTCAGCTTTGCATATGCTTGTCAGTTTAAGACTTGCAGATGTCAGAAACCATATTTGGATCGTGGAGTCCTCATTAGTTAAAAGGTCCGTTTTCCATGCAAGGAAGTCAGGGGATGGAGTTATTCTTGGGCTGAGCCGATACCATTCTAGTGTATGGTGGCAAGGGAAAGGTGGCCTACGTTGGAGAGAACTAGAGCCTTGCGTTAGACATCTGTTGACGGTCGAGGACATTCCCCACATTGTGGTAATTCACTGTGGTGGGAATGATCTTGGGCAACTAGTGAGTTGTGATCTCCGCCACTCTATATTAAAAACAATGGACAGTTTAATGAAGTGGATGCCAGAGACAGTATTTGCTTGGTCGCAAATTTTACCTCGGTTGGAGTGGTGAAATGAAATTGTTCATGAGGCTGTTGATAGGGCCAGTGTGAGGGTCAATAGCAAAGTGGCCAGTCATTTCACAGCCATAGGAGGCAGTTATATTAAATACCCTGAGATACAGGAAGATTGCCCTGATCTTTTTGTGGAAAAGGTCCATATGTCTGAGTTGGGCAATGAAATTTTCTTGTACCATTTGCAGCAGGGTCTTGGAAATATTCTTTCAAAAAGTATTGATATGTAAATTAGTATCAGGTTTGTGATTGCGATTACGATCATTGTGATTTTTTTTACCTAGGGGGCATATACACATCTTTTATAATTATTCATGTTTTGTAATGTTTCATTTTGAGAACACGGCTACTCCCCATACAAATTTATCATTTATAACCATATATCATTTGTTTACAAAAAATAAATACAATTAACGCCTTCATTAAATACAGATACATTTAAAGGGTAGAACAAATATTAGAAATAATAACGTTAATGGTAAAAGACATTGTACATGTAAAGGGGACTTAATGGAATGCTTGATGTTTGTCATTTTTTGTAAGTTTCGTTGTTTTTAATTAAATAGAAGAAACTGATAAAAAAAACTTGTCAAAAGAAACTTTTTTCAACAAGTCTAAATACGTTTTGTGCATTTA